TTTTAATATTAGGGAGGGGGGGGGAGGGGGCCCTTTAATAATAGGGGGAAGGGATTAGGAGCACACCTTTGATGCTGTGCTGCGCCGCTCGAAATCGCTCCTTGCTGTTGAGATAGACCTGGAAGTGGTTCCCGTCGATGAAGTCATCAAGGCGGTTCGCCCACCAGGTTCCTGTTTTGCTGCCGTACGTTTTCGCGAACTTGAAACGGTCCCTCACATCCTCTGGTTTTAGAACCGGTTTTTAACACAGCTTCCGGAAGAAGATGTTGCGCTCATGCAAAACCCGTAGCATGGTTCGGCAAGAGGCTTCGATCTTCGCCGCTTTCTGCAACATCTCCACCGTCACGGTGTGCTGCCCGTCCGCCTTAACGATCATCTGATCAAGCTTGCGTTCCAAGAAGTCGATCTGAGCTTTGGTGAGTGCGCTGGGCCGACCCTGCTTCTTCACAGGCTTCTGCACACGCAACAGGCGGGTAATTGATGATGTGTCCCTGCCCAGCAAGTCGGCGATCTCGGACGGCTGCTTGCCCTCGGAGTAGCAGTTCTTTGCCCACTTGCGTTCGTCCGCCGACTGTGCCGCTGCGGGCTTGAGTTCGAAACTTGCAAGATCGAAACCTGCAGGACCAGGTGGCTTTCCAGTGCTATTCCCGAACAGATCAGCACACACGAATCGAAGGTACAGTAACAGACATTCCACAGTGAGCGCTTGTCCTTCTCATGTAACAGCCATGGCCATATAAATCTTTGGGAGGACGGATCGGTTCCCGCGGCATGAGGGCGTTCTGTCGGGGTAGGCTCTTTCACAGCGACGGCGAAGTCCCATGATCTGGACGTACACTGCGGTAGGTCGACAATTCGTGACACACCTGCACGTTGCTCTTGAACAACTTGCAAACACCTCGCACCCTTAGGCTCCTCCACAAAAGCCTCCGTCGCGAACATACTACTAGTCCATAATTCCATTCCGCTGGATTAATTCCTCCGCTCGCCAGGCCACGTAAAATACACTTGTCGGTACTCCGCGTCCTCCGCATGATGGTATAGGCAAGTGCCACGAAGCTTTTTACCTGGCGATGTTTACATACTGGTTCCACGTCCATCAAAGGTTCGATGTCTTCGTACTCTTACATCTGAGTCTGTCTGCGAAAAGGTGGCCTGACATTGTGCCCGGTTTCGTTGTGTCGTTTTAGAGGCATGCCCGAGTGGATACAATTGCGGTAGTGAGAAAACCGCTCACCGAGAAGGTGGGTGGACAAAATCGTGCATGACCCACAGCAAGAAAGAGCCTGACACGTTGCTTGGCTCACTCCTCGCACTCCTCTAATGTCAATGTTGATGACGCAGATATGTGATGCAGGATTTCGTCCATTCGCCGACATGCCTTTTTAAGAGTGGTTTGGCATCAATACTAAAATTCAGGGTTTGGAAGGGATGGGCCGTAATCGAAAATCGATGCAGGATTTCGTCCATCAACAGAATGAGCCCCAAAACCCTATTCAACCTATTAAGGCCCCTACATAATCGAACCTTCATAGTAGCCCTTATAGAGCCTTTTAAGAGGATTCTTTGAAAGGGCCCCAAAACAAAGAGTATATTGCTAATTATTTATTTAGGCGCCTACAGTAATACTGAAAAGGCGTCGAAGCTGAGCTCCCGACTCGATACGAACTGGTCCTGGCGAGACATCCTTGGCTGATACTTCAGGGTCTGAGTTTAGGGTTTAGGGTTTAGGGTTTAAGGTCTGAGGATATACGGTTTAGGGTTTAGGGTTTAACTGGGCTGCTGTTAAGGAACTTGATTTAAGCTACCATAATGGCGATATATGGTAAATCATCAGGCTTCCTTCTTATAGTATAGTCAACCATCGTAACTTAATTTTAATTACTTGGCAGCAACCCAGTATATAAAGGGTGCTCGTCTTAGGTTTAGGGGATGGGACTTGCTTCTGATGAAAACTACGAAGATGCCCGTGGGGCTTAGGGTTTAGGGTTTAATTAGGGCTTAAGGCTTAGAGTTGCAAACCAAATTCTTCTGCGCCACCGAGCAGCGCGCTATTCTGACGCCGCGGGACGCTGGTTGCTGTCGAAGGGACCGGCTGCATCTGGAGTGCCTCGCGCAGAGTGAATTAGAGGCCTTGAATGAATAGAATAGGGTTGTCGAACCTCCCTGTCCAGGAACCTGAGTATCAGCATGATTTTCACCACTGTGCGCGATTTACCAGCTTCCCAAGACCTCAAACTTCACTAAGACTCGAAAATAAGTCAAATGCGCTATTGCACCTGCTCCTCTGCCACGGGAGCCTTCCTGGTTAAACGTGCCGTCATCGGCGGGTCCTGCTGGCCGCAGTTCCAACCGAAACACAACCAAAACATGGCTTCAGAGTTTATGCTTGAAGGGTTGAGGGTTTAGAGTTTACGGTGCAGCACCCTAGTCACTAGTACTGGGGCTCTTGTATTGCTGCGCCTCTGTCTGTGCATGTATGCAGTGAGACGCCGCAGGTACGATGCCACGGTCCATCCGCATGCAAGGGAAACACCGCTGTGATACTGCCACACTCTCCCACTTGGTACGCAGCATGCGCCCTCCGCCGTTGAAATCACCTCTCGCAAGGATGCTAACATATCATGAAAACAGTCGACGTGGGGGGTGGGCTTCGACTGTCTAGAGAAGACGGTTTAGGCCAGAGCTAAATATTAATATTAAATGACCCTCTGACATTGAGCATCTCTGGGCAGAAGCCACCAGAAAGCCATCACGACCCCTTCATTAATTCAGTTCACTTCATTTCATTTCTTGTCATTTCAATCTATTTCATTTCATTTCATTTCATTT